CTCAATAGCCTTTAGTGACCACTCAATAGCCATTAATGACCACTCAATAGCCTTTAGTGACCGCTCGATAGCCATTAATGACCACTCAATAGCCATTAGTGACCGCTCGATAGCCATTAATGACCACTCGATAGCCACTAATGACCACTCGATAGCCATTAATGACTGCTCGATAGCCATTAATGACTGCTCAATAGCCATTAATGACCACTCAATAGCCATTAGTGACCACTCAATAGCCATTAATGAGCACTCGATAGCCATTAATGACCACTCGATAGCCATTAATGACTGCTCGATAGCCATTAGTGACCACTCAATAGCCATTAATGACCACTCAATAGCCATTAGTGACCACTCAATAGCCATTAATGACCACTCGATAGCCATTAATGACCACTCGATAGCCATTAATGACCCCTCAGTGTCCGGGATTGACACCTCGATATCCCAGACTGACCATCTCTCTGTCCACTCTTTCCGCAGGAGGTGAAGCTCTACAAGAACGCCCGGGAACGGGAGAAGTGAGTGCGGGGAATTTCGGGGGGATTTGGGGGGATTTTGGGGGGATTGGGATTCCCTTTGCCAACGGCGTTCCCCTGATGTCCATCCCAAACATGTCCTGTCCTGGGATCACCTGCTCCGTCTCGGTCCATCCTGGAGCTCCACTGTCCGTCCTGGTCAATCCCGGAGCTCCACTGTCCATCCCAAAGCTCCACTGTCCATCCCATTGTCTATCTCGGAGCTCCACTGTCCATCCTGGAGTTCTACGGTCCTTCCCGGAGCTCCACTGTCCATCCTGGAGCTCCATTGTCCATCCCATTGTCCATCCCGGAGCTCCATTGTCCATCCGGGAGCTCCATTGTCCATCCCATTGTACATCCCAGAACTCCATTGTCCATCCCGGAGCTCTAGTGTCCATCCCGGAGCTCCGTTGTCCATCCCAGAGCTCCATTGTCCATTCCGGTCCATCCCGGAGCTCCACTGTCCATCCGGGAGCTCCATTGTCCATCCCATTGTACATCCCAGAACTCCATTGTCCATCCCGGAGCTCTAGTGTCCATCCCGGAGCTCCAGTGTCCATCCCGGAGCTCCATTGTCCATCCCAGA